CCATAACAAGTTTTTCATTTATATGGATCGAAGTCATGAGAGACTTTCTAAATTTATTGAAGTTGAAATTGTAATAGGTTTTCTTTTTATGTGGGTTGAAGTCGTTTGAGATTTCCTAATTATGTGATATGAGTTGAAGTTATGGGAGACTTCTCAAATTTATATGGGTTGAAACTGTAATAGATTTTCCATATTTATGTGGGTTAAAGTCATCGTTAGCTTTCTAATTATGTGTTATGAGTTGAAACCTTTAGTGGCTTTCCATTTTAAACATTTCTTCCTTTTTTTACTTTAGAGTAGGGAAATAGGCCTCCAACCGACCTAAATGCTAAACAATTCGATCAACTTACCCCGATAGGATAAATTTACTTGAACATGCATAGATAAATAGAATTGAATAATAAGATCGGATTTTTACATTCAATATGCATGCAATACATCCTACCTCGGGTAGGACATGAATATGGTAATTTCGATCTTCTCCACTCGTAATCAATCCCTTACCTAGATTTTTGCATAGACAAGTCATGTATAGATTTTCTAGTTCCTTAATACTAAGTAACAACTCCTTTCCTTAATTCCTTGTCATTTTCTAAAGAGAGCCAATTCGCCGATCCCGACCCTCGATGTCGACGATGCCCCTCTCACAAAATTGATTATAAAAGAAGGCATTTTTTGAAATAAAATATTATTAAATTAAGCACGATCGATAAGTGTCAAGGGATTATTTTATCATTTTTTATACCACAAGGACTATTAATTCATTTTACTTATGTACAAGGACTAAGTTATAATTAAATCCCAAATGAATTGCTAACATTTGTCTTTTTAAAACGTAAAATAGCAATTTCATTAATTCTAAACAAAGTACAAATAAATCAATATTTTTATACATTTGGAGAATTTACTTGCTATTTTGAAAGATAATAGACAACACCAATAATTTAAGATGGTCTTCTAGACAACATTTATTCCTTTTAATGATTGGAATGACGAAAAAAAAAATCTAATTCTCAAACATGGATAGTTTATATAGGAACCGATTGTATCTTACGCATATACATATGAGTTTAAGCAATCATAAATCAATGAAAAAATGTGCTTGCACTACTAGGCCTAATTGATAGAAGAGCCAAAATCAATTATCGGTATCAATCTCCTCCATGTAATGGGAAACCACCACCAAACTTTTATTTAAAAAGAGAAAAACCTCAACGAGCAAGAAGAATAAATAGTCGATAGATGACCACATCGATCTAAATATAAAATCTAAAGCTAGAAAAAAATAAAAACAAAATGAACTAAAATTGCAAAAAAAAAGAAAAAAGAAAAAGAAAAAGGAGAGGTTGCCATTATTGATAGTTAAACGACCATTATAGAAAAAAAAACTACTTTTTTTTCAAGAGAAAAAAGAGAATGAAGGTTTTTAATTTTTTTGTAAATGAATTATTAATGTTGAATGTCAATCAAATAATCAAGAGACTAACTTATTACTTATAACACTAAAAAAGTTAGTGAATAGTAGCAATGAGTTATTATACATTTTATTGCTCATCTACTCACAAAGCATTATGGACTTAGAGTCAATTTCATTGCGTATTTTATTGCTCTATGATATTTTTGTGATTTCCAAGTTATTTTCAAGTATCTTATTTACAAGTTTAAGCAAATATTACACTTTGGATTTTATTTTTTTCAAACATTTTTTGTTTCGTTTTTGAGTTTTATTTGTACTAAGGTTTGATCTCTAGATGTAAGGAGAAGAGAGAAATAAAAAAAGAGAAGGGAGGAGAGAGAAACTCAAGACAAAGCTAATTTTGACTAATTTGGTTCTCAATCTTAGCTTCAATTTGTTCATTTTGAAGTTGTTTATGGTGGTTACAAGCCATGAAATCATTATAGGAGATAGATCGAGATCCCAAAATATTATGAATTTTTTTGTTTGGTTTGGACTATTGTGACTTTTATGTTTATTAAAATGAGTTTGAGATTCTAAATGAGGTTTTTGACTTTATTATATGATTTAGAGGTGTTTTGGAACAAAAAATAGTGCTTAAATTTAGTTAGAGAGGCCAAAAACTAGAAATCTTATATTTTTGGTGACTTTTTTAGTGAACTCGAGTTCTTTGAATTTGCGAGTTGGATGACACTTCATCTATTAAACAAGGAGCCAATGATGTGTCATCTATGTTTTCTCTTTTGCTTTTTTAGGTTGGCATGTATAGGCTTGGTTTTCCAAACCCAAGCATGCGGGTTTGGTTCTCCAAGCCAAAGACTACGAGCCTAACTTGCTTTTTTTTTTTTAGTAATTTATTTTAAATTTTTTATTATTGATTTTTATACGAAAATTATGAAAATCAATCATTAGTTTTTAGATTTCTCACATGGCCTAGTGAGAAAAAAATATTATATGTTTTTATATTTTAAACTGAAAATATATTTCGGATTATATTGCTCTTATTATTTAAAATTTATTCATTTAATTTGTCATTAAAAATTCTCATCCAATGAATTTTTTTATTTTTTATTTATAAAATTTTATGTGCTAACAATGTGATTTTTTTTCTTTATGTATAGATTTTGAAATAAAATTTAGAAAATAATTATTTTCTCTCTTTTTAATAAATTGATATAATTTATATGACAGATTCTTAAAATTCTCAAATGTGTGTAGCATAATTATATATAAGTTACTACTAAATTCACCAACCAAATTGTTATTCTCACCATTTTTTTCTAGACAACTACCAATATATCATTCATCAATTACCAATAATCATTATATAACAAATATTAATTGAGGGTGTATTGATAATTTTTTGAAAAAGTGAGGAAAATAACAATTTGGTTAGTGAATTTAGCGATACTCTTCTATATAAACTAAAAGTTAAAAGTGTATTTTAGATAATTTATATCAAATTTTAATAAACAAATAATTTTCAAAATAGTTATTTAATAATAAAAAAAAACGAGAGAGAATAATTGCTCTACATGTGAGATCTCGTGAATGAGGATTAGTCATGTATGACTTATAAATATTATATATCCATATAAGAAGGAAAAGGAAATGCACGTGTTTTATTTGTTTATATATATATATATATATACATATATATTTATATATATATATATATATATATATATATATATATATATATATATATATATATATAATCAAAATGTATTAAAATTAAATTTATAATAGTTTTTATTTTAGTTTGTTAACTTTAAATTTATTTAATACAATTCCTTACAAGTTAAGTGTTTTTTAAATATTTTTTATTTTATCATTTAGACTCTAAATCCATTTGGTATAGGTATGATGTATAAAAGTAAAATATTGAATTGTTGGATTTATTAAAAAGTAACTATACAGACTACACACAAAACAAAAAGCATTTATGATTTATTTATTTACTTTAGATATTTTAAAATCATTATTTTCAAATAACATAATTAAAATTTTGTTTTGGAAGAACCATCGAATGATTCAAGTATATTATTTATGCTAATATTATTGATTAATTTATGAATGCATATATATAAATCAAATGAACATATTTTAAAAAATAATCTTCTCATCAACATTAAATATATAAGAATAAAAATATAATTTTTATTTGTTTATTTTTATGCAAATTTTTTTTACCTTAATTGTTATATTATCTTTTCAATACAATCTTATGAAAAAAAAACTATTTTCTTAGAATTTTTTTAAAAGATTATTACAAGTTTTTAGTTAAGAATCTATGGATAAAAAAGGACAAATCATATTTTTTAGTAAAACATTTTTGAAAAATATAAGAAATAATTAGTTAAATACAAAAATTTGATTAAAAAATTATAAAATTGGATGAATGCCTTTTTTTAAATCTCCGATTTGATATATTTTAGTAGACTCATAATATAGCACGAATCATCAAAATGACATTTTATCTTTTTAAATAATTTTATAAGTTTTGTTGAACTTATGGTATAGCATGAGTAAAAAAATAGTAATTTTCAAAATAAAAAAACCAACTAAATAATTTTTTTTTTTGAAAAAAAACCCACTAACAAATTAAAAAAAAAAAAACTCTTTAGGCGGTTAAGAAACACAGGAAAAAACAAAACTTAGAAAAACGATTAGATTATAAGTTAGTCCTTCTAGTTTTTAAAACAAATTAAATAATTGCTTTAGTTTTAAAAACTTAATTAGTCTTTTTATTTTTCAATATATTTGTAATTTAATTTTTTTTCATTTTCAATTTTTTTTGTTTTAGAAAATAAAAAAATAAAAAGTAATTAAAAAATATATAATGATTGATTAATTTTTTTTAAAATAATATTCAATTAATCATGATCAATATTAGTTTAAAAACCAATTAATTAATTTTTTAAAATAATATAAATTAATGAATTCATTTTGTAAAATTAGAGGGACTAATTTACAATTTACTTTAAAAAATGAGAAGAAAGAAGCAGACTAATTTTTGCGTTCGCGAGTAGAGAAAGACAAAGCACACGAATCCGGAAGAGACTTGGTTTACCCCAAACAACTAACGTAGACAGGCAGGCAGGCACATCCATCTCTTTTTTTTTTTTTGCCTTTCTTATCTCTCTTCTATCTTTCTCTCTGCGTGCTTATAATTAGGGTTTATAATAATATATCTTTCCCTCCTCGTCATTCAACTAGCTGAAACAGGTACGGAATTTATTCCTTATTTTTAGCTTTGAATTTCAATTGGGTTTATCTGTTTTTTTTTTCCCCCACAATTTTCCCTCCCAAAAGCAACTTCTTTCTACTTTGTTTGGCTACTGGAACTGTTACAGATTATTTTCTTTTTGTTATGATTTTTATGTGTATTTGATGCACGCTGAGATAATGTAGGGTATTGAATGCATTGATAAGTACTTTAAATTTCAATATAAAAACTAGGATGGTATGTGATCGATGAACTGCTTATAAAACTGCTTCCATCTAAAATTGTTTCAGGTATTCCAATCATTATTAAAAAAAAATGGTGGAGAGTGGCAAACGATCGCGTCCCCAAAGAGATTATGATGGGGATACCAATAATCAGAAGAGGCACAAAGATGATAAAGCTACTAATAATGATGAACTGGTTGTTTATAGAATACTATGCCCTGATGGGGTTATCGGAAGTGTCATTGGTAAAAGTGGTAAAGTCATCAATTCCATAAGGCATGAGTCAAGGGCGAGAGTTAAGGTGGTGGACCCGTTTCCAGGTGCCAAAGATAGGGTCATAACAATTTATTGCCATGTCAAGGAGAAGGAAGATGTTGATGTTGATGATGATTTCAATCACACCGGTCCTTTATGTCCTGCACAAGATGCTCTTCTTAAAGTTCATGCTGCAATTTCAAATGCTGTTGCATCTCTTGGGGACTCTGAAAAAAGACGGAGAGATAAGGAAGAGTGCCAAATTCTTGTCCCAACTAGCCAGTCTGCAAATATTATTGGTAAGGCTGGGGCAACTATAAAGAAACTGAGAAACAAGACCAGGACGAACATTAAAATTACTGCCAAAGATGCCTCTGACCCTACTCACTCATGTGCTATGGACTTTGACAACTTTCTTCTGGTTAGTATATCGGACTTTAATTGCCTTTTGATTTATTGTTGAGGCTATTTGTGCAGAATTTAACATTATCTGTTAAAACCTAATCAAATTCAAATTATTAGGTTCTAATTTGTCTGCTATTGTGGTTTTTTTTCCAAAATGTGTCTGCGGATCTTTTAACAATTGGACTTGTTTTTCCCTGGAGAAAAAGTCCAACAAACATCACAAACAAACTCACATTTAAATGCTCTTAACTATAATGCTCATGTTAGGGCTTTAAAAATCTGGGTGCCCTTTGACTTTCGTTGTGAAATTCTAGTGCTGTTCTGTTTGTGTGAGTTGCCATTGGTCCTGATGGAATCCAAACCCCTGAACAATTTTTGTAGATGATCTCTAGGCTGTGTTAATGCTGCATTAAAGCTTAAGATGGCAGATAGAGGTTTCAACCTGGATTATTCAGCGTGAGACTGATGTCTATGTCTCTAATGGCTGAGGATGCAGTTCTTTAAGTCAAGTTGAACTCTGGATCCAAATTGCTAGCCAAGTGCCTGTTGATGCTTAGCGTGGGCCACTTTCTAGAAATGCGTTTTTGTGTGAGCTTACTATATATGAATCCTTTTCATTTAAGTACATGTATCATTAACATAGCTGGAGAACCATATTGTTTTTGAAATGTGCAGCTTCTTTATCTTGAAAATTAAGGATTTTGTCTCCATCTATGATGAAATTAATTGACATGTGATTTTTTGTTGCTTTTCCTTAAGAATGTGTAATGCATTTCCATGCTTCTCTTGAGCAGTTTGTGAAGGTTGATTTTTTAGGCATTTCAAGAGTTAATTTTTTTTTCTTATGAACAGATAACTGGTGAATCAGATGCAGTGAAGAAAGCATTGTTTGCAGTTTCTACAATCATGTATAAGTTCAATCCAAAAGAAGAAATCCCCCTTGAGACAACTGTACCAGAAGCTCCTCCCAGCATTATCATACCATCAGATGTCCCTATATATCAACCAGGTGGATTCTATCCAAATGCAGATCCGATTGTTTCTTCTAGATCCGTTCCGCCAATCTTAGGTGCTACACATATACCGGAGCTTCAGGGTTATGGGGATATAGGGAGTTCTTGGCCCATTTATTCATCTACGCTCCCTGTAGTTCCCAGTTTTGGCAATGCTTCTCAATCTGAGGAGTTAATTATACGAGTATTATGCCCATTTGACAAGATTGGCCGTGTCATTGGCAAGGGAGGGAGTACCATTAAAAGCATAAGGCAGGCTAGTGGTGCTCGGATTGAGGTTGATGATACCAAAGCTGATCGGGATGAGTGTATTATTACAGTCATTGCAACTGAGGTATGGCATCTCTTCTTTGTTGATGATTAGTTTCTTTCCAGGTGATGCAGGAATCCTGCTCGTTTCTTCATTGATTTACATAGAGATGCTGTTAAAGAGAGCATCAAATGTACATTTGTTTTACAGCTTTAGAGCTGAATAGTATTTGAAGATTACTTAAATGGAATGCCAATCTGAACTTTTTTAATGAGCAACTGAGTGTATGTCATATTGCAGTCTCTATAGTCCAGTGTGGATATTGGTTTTTGTCAATGCAGCTAAGCTAAACTAATAAAACAACTTATGCATTCCAACACAAGTTTGGATTCTCTTTTATTATGTGAAAAGTGCATTAAGTTTGCACTACTTGCTCAATTTTTCCAATACAACACATTCTGTGTGGGATTTAGATATGTAATATCAATATGCTTATATATCTCATGATATACATTGGGTTTTAATTATCTATGTTTACCATTCGGCAGTCTCCCGATGATTTGAAATCCATGTCAGTTGAAGCTATTTTGTTGCTTCAAGGAAAGATTAATGATGAAGTTGATGACACTGTTGGCATTCGGCTCCTTGTTCTCTCTAAAGTTATTGGGTGTATCATAGGAAAAAGTGGTTCAATTGTAAATGAAATTCGAAAGAGAACTAATGCTGATGTCCGCATCTCAAAAGGGGATAAGCCTAAGTGTGCTGATAGTAATGATGAACTTGTTGAGGTCTGATTTGTGAACTTCACTTAGTTTCTTGTTTTTCCTTTTCATTTGTAAATACTTTTTTGGGTTGACCTTGTTCCTTGATAGGTGGTTGGAGAAGTTGGTAGTGTGAGGGATGCACTTGTCCAGATTGTTCTAAGGCTCAGAGATGATGTATTGAAAGAAAAGGATGGTGGTCTGAATTCTTCTGTTGGTACAGATTCTGTATACCCTGTCGGTGCTGGTCTTTCTATACCATCTATCCTTCCTTCTGTTCCACCAGTTGCTCCGATGGGTTATGATCAGAGGCCTGAAAGTGGAAGCGGATTGGGCATGCTTTCATCAAGCAGCCTTTATGGATATGGATCCTTACCGGTATGTAGCTGGTGGTGAAATTTCTTTCATCGTAATTGCTGTTATTTAGCATTCTTTTCAAAGTTCGTATGAAGTTTTGGGTACATTGATTTGGGAGTTTTGGGCAATGCAGTTGATGGAGGATGGCCATTGCTGTGAGCTTAAGGGAATGAAAAATAGATCCTTTAAGACACTCCTTCACTTTTTTTTTTTTTTTGCTTTACATTAAATGTTGGATCTCTTTGGTAAAATCCATTTTAGATAAAATGATTATGCATATAAGATAACTGGAGAATAAGTCATTGATGATGTCAAGAAAATGGACCATTGCAGTTTTGCTATTGATTCGTTAGTTTTAGTCTCTTAGAGCTCTGTTATTATTTAGGATATTTGTATTTTTTCTTAGAAATTTATTATTGTTAGGAAATTTTAGTATATTAATTTAATAGGAAATTTGATTCCTTCTTTAACTTATTAATCTATAGGGTTTTGGTGTGACCATGCCAGCACAAATGTTTTCTATTTTGGATAAGCCATTTATGATAATGAACGAAGAATTTCAGTTTCAACTCTTAGAGGTGGATTTCGTCTAGTGCTGTGAGGTTGATGCCTGGTTGTGAATTCCTTTTATCTTGCTTTGATGCCAATTGGTTTAGAACAATAAGGATAGCGTATAACATAAGGAATCCATCTCTAAAAGTTGAAACTGACATTTTTATTTCTTTATTTTAAAAGACTCCAAAATGTATAATACTTGTGCTTATATAGAAACAAAGAAATCCTAATGTGACCAAAAAGAAAAAAAAATCATTATTAAAATAAAATACGAAAGTAGTCTTAACAATAGTAAATTCCTAAATCCCTAAACGATAAGAAAATTCCAAAACCAATAAAATATGAAGTAAAAATTCAATAGTTCATTTTCTTGACTGCATGAATCATCCTCCAGCAGGAAAACAACAGCAAAGCAATTCTCAATGTAAAAGATTGCTTCAGTTGTTCTGATATCTGCTGCAGGACACCACCTCTTTCCCAGCTCCTGAATACGAGAAACACATCCTTTCCCTCTCTAATTATAATATAATATTTGCACTTTTTTTGTTGGATGGAAAGATATATCCTTGAAAATGCTAGCATTTTTCTTCGTCTGCATAAACAATAGACAGCTCCTGATTATGAGAAACACATCCTTTCTCTCTCTAGCTGTGATATAATATTTGTACTTCTTTTGTTGGATGGAAAGGTATATCCTTGAAAATGCTAGCATTTTTCTTCATCTGCGTACACAATAAACAGAAGAAACAGCATAGCAACACCAGATCTTACTGTCCTTCCATCTATTGAAACCCACACAAGAAATCATAAAACAAACATGATATTCTGCATTGCGCACAACCAATGACTTGCTCTAAAAGCAAACAACCGTACCAAAAATATGACACTATTGAAAGATGTGGGAAGGGATTACTACCTAAGGGTACATTTGGTGAGACGAGAGTAAGCAGGACTGGATAGTATAAGAAGGGATAAGGTTGAATCATGGGGGGAAGGTGGGAAAAAAGCTGGTTTAAAATGGGTAAAACCTTGTCCCATGTGATGAACACCAGTAATAGTGGGGTTACCACATCTAGTCCATACCATAAAATGCTACCCTAATCTTCCCCCATCACAAGCATTTAGGAGCATGGCTTTTTGAGGCTTTCTTAAACATGTGCTGATGATATTCATTTACTGGAGATTGCTGCACTTTTTAACGGTTTTTTTTCCTTGCTTATTATGGCATTCATATTTTCCTGTTTTTTTTTTTTCCTTTCCTTATTAGATGGGAGAAAATAGCTATGGTTCTCTGGCCTCGTATTCTTCGTCTAAGCTGTTCAGAGGGTTAGTACATTGTGCTCTTGAAAACCCAGAATTTTTTTCTTTGACCTCTATACTTTCCATGCAAACTGATTTTCTGGACTTACGCAGTTTGCCTCCATCCTCAACTCTGGAAATGTTGGTGCCTGCTAATGCAGTTGGTAAAGTGATGGGTAAAGGAGGAGCAAATATAGCCAACATCCGAAAGGTTTGTAAATCCTTTTTCTCTTGTCTTCCTGGATTTATAGGGGATTTTAGTGAATTACACTTGTATTTGAGGAAAAGGGTGCAATAACTATTTGTAGTGATGGTGCATTTCTGTGGCTTGTTAGAAAATAAATAGCCTGAGTGTGTGTTAAATTCATGCCAGGGATTTGTTTTTTAATTATGGGCATTTAGTTTAGTGGCAAATGAGGATATCTGCAGCCAACAACGAGTATATCTTACTGAGGTTTGTTAAGTTAAAATATATTGAAGTATTCCACACATAAGAAAGGAAGGAATTTAGTAATCCAGCATTCATAACAGTGAATTATTGGACATGGCATTTGGATTGTGAACACAGTTTGCCAACTCTCCAGTTGCTTGTTGGCAGTATCGCTAATGCCTTTGCTTGGTTTGTTTCCACCATTTTAGGCTGTTAACAATTCCTCCACCTTGCTTTGCTTTCCCCATATCACATGTCTATTTGTTTTCAAGTGGTCACACAGTAGCTCTAGCACACAACAGATTAACCAGTATCTAGTAACTAGTCAGTGTTTTTTGGAGAAGCAATTTTGCTTCCCACAAAAAGTTGTTACAATTTCTTCATGAGAAAAGCAGGGATGCAGTACATGGTCATCGCATATCCACATTTAAGAGACCTGAAATTGTCAAGTCTGCTAGATATTGTGCATGGATATTTTTTTAGTCTTATGCTTATCATAAAATAATCTAAAATACTGAAGTTGTGAAGCTTTGGCTTACATAATCGAAATAATCTAAGCATTTGATCTTCATATTACTCCTATTTAATCTAAAATATAACAAATATGGCATACAGAAGTTGTGAAGCTTTGGCTTATATATATGATTCTTCTCTAAAATTTTCATCTGTATGCATGTTGGTGATGTTCCAGAAAATATTTTGAAATCCACTTGTATCGATGCTTTTTTCCCCCTATTATTGCTCTCAATCTGCTTTGATCGGATGAAGTTCTCATGGACATCAATTCTTTTCCTTTTTCATTTTTTATGACATTTCAGATATCAGGAGCAATGATAGAAATCTCTGATGCCAAGTCTGCAAGGGGTGATCGTATTGCTCATGTATCTGGCACACCAGAGCAAAAACGGGCTGCTGAAAACTTGATCCAGGCATTTATTATGGCCACGTAAGCCTTGACAATATTTCCCAATATTTGAAGGTGAATCGTAAAAATCTTGGAATTCTCTTCCCATCTTCCTCAAATGTTTCCTTAGCCTCGTTAGGTTTCATCTGGAGATGACTTTGTTTTCTAGGCTTCTACAGCTGGACTCTTCCTGTGTCTTATAACTCTGCCTATCAAGGTCAAATGAGGAGATATGCCAGTGGGTTAATATCCATGGTTATAGGTTCTTGTCATTGTTTGCTCGATCTAATCTTCTATCTGCAGCTCTTAGAACATTGTAGGTTCTTTCCTTTCATTTTGTTTTACCAGGCCTTATCATTAAGTTGTGGGAAGTCCATCTTATTTCCAGCAATTTTTATACTCTAATTTTATGGCCCCCCCAGGAATTATTTTTGGTAAATCATATCGCCAAACTCATAATGTATGTGTGTTGTTTTCTGGCCGTACAATTTCTTGTTCTCTACTTCTTTTAGGAGGGATCTTTTTACCGATGATGCAAGCTGTTGAATTTGTGATGAATCTCTACTCTATATTCCTCTGTTTTGCATTGCTAGTGCAGCATCATAAAAAGCTTTCTCTCTGGCTTATGGAACTCAGACTTTCTTCGTCTTCTTTTCTTCATTTCAGAATCTCATTTCTTATTCCTGTCTATGAAGAGCTCATTGTAGAGATTAAATCGTCGAATCGCTGCATACAGTTTAGTTTCTGGGTTTTATTCCCATTCTAATTTGTATTTCTTAATCTCTATCAAAATCAGTCAGGGTGTGTTTTTTAAAAATCCTGTAAAATTTACTCCAAATATCAATTTTCCAGCTTTTAGGATTCCATGGATACAAATCACTTGAGTTTACTTTCTTAACTGCTGTGTTTGAACGGTCATAGGGGTCCATGTTAACCAATCATCTATTGATTCAGGAACAACTTGTGGTTTATTCAGCAGCTAACTTATCTATATCTTGGATTGAAATAGTTTCTCGAGTTATAGGCAATCACTGGTTTCTTTTTATGGCGATTCTTCCTACAGGGGATGTGGGCTGGTCCATTATTTTTCTTGATATAACACCATACACAAGCTTCACTAAGTTGGTGATGCTTGTTTCACCAATGGAAATAGTTCTCATGTCCCTAAGTTGTCCCCTAGTCGCTATTCCAACTCTACTAAGATTGTTGGAACTTGGGAGTAGTGTGCTACCCATGTCTACGGTAGATTTCCACTGCAATCATGAGCCATATTTATTGCGACTGTTTGTGCAATGTTAAAATATGAAAATGCTCTTGGTTTAACCTGACTAATCTAACCTTCTCCTCTTCCTTTGGTCCCTAGATTATCGGTCATGTTAGGAAGGTCACAATCAGCTGAACTTATTCTAGTTCTTTGAATTGAAAATATCCTAGGCTTGTGCAATTCAGTTTGGTAGACTTTCCATCTAGGATATGCTACTTATAAATGCTTGTTTCATACAACGGCAATTTTTTAAATGAGGGGATTTGAACCTGGGCACTTTAATTGCTGGGCCTCAGGCTTGAGTTCTTAATCACTTGACTTCATATGTCGGCACTTAATCCTTTATAGTGTAATCCAAAATCACCATTCCTTTCACACAATGTTATAAATATGAATATGTTATCTTCTGTAATCTGAATAATCCATCTGCTCCTTTATCTTCCCATATTATTGGCCGGTGGTCACATTAGATTATTGATGATCAAGTGATCTTATTCTAGTTTCTTTACATTGAAAATCTCTAGGGGGAGTACAATTTTCCATGTCTATAATCTCCTAGGATTTTGTACTTGTCAAAGATTTGTTGAACATATAATCCGAAAGCACTGTTTCCTTTGTACTCGACAGTGTTTTTATGGTTGGTAGTCATGACCTTGCTGTTGAAAGTCCATGTCTGTTGTCAAACATTAAAATTTCTTGGCCTTGCCCTGTTTTGTTTTTCTTGTATTGAAATTGATACCTACAAAGAGGGCCTTTGGTGATCAATCTGGTGGGGGTATGTGGTAGATAACAATATTGTGGTTAGGTTTATTTAGTAGAAGATTCAGGCAATTTGGATATGGTAATAGTTTGTACATGCATATGGTTGTCCTGAAGACTAATACATCTTGACAATTTTGTATTCTTTTGTGGACAGATAATTTGTTGCACACTATTGTATAAAAACTGTGCTAAGTAGTTGCAATCTTAAAGAATTTGTCTTGTTTGTGTTCGTAACTCAGGAGGAAATATCTTGTATAGTGGATGGTTGGTGTGTGTGTGTCAGCAAAATTTATAAAGGTAGCTTTATGACTTTAAATAAAAAGATTAGGCCTTCTGTTGGTTGACCTTACAGTAGAAATTGGAGTTGTATAAGATGATGCAAATCATGTGATGTTCATACTTGTAGTTTCTTGCTGTTCACAGTGGTTTCAGTTTACAAATATTCAACCATGGTGGTTTGGATCTATTGGCCCTATTTTCTATTATGTTATATTGTTAGTAATTTTTGCAAATGCTGATTATATCGGTATGGTTATTTCTATTGTGAATAATTTTGAGAGATTGAGAGAGTTGCTGCCATTTCACTAATTTGAACTTAATTGAATGTCAGTGATACATTAAGTTATTTTGGAGCAATAAAGGAGTAATTGTTTTTTAGATTTGTGCTGTTTTGATTTTTTGTTTAGAATTGTTGAAAAGTTTTGATTGGCCGTCTGGAAAGAGAATTCTAGTTCTTCCAAATTTTAGGAGGAAGAGATGGGGCCGTATGCGGTTATTTTGGCATTTAGTTTGGGTTTAGCCTTCTTTGTTACCTTTTTATGATAAGCCATTTATTCTTCAGTTCTTTAGAAGGTCATCCACGACCTGATTGGTGCGTGCAGAAGAAATTAGTTTTGCTTAAAAAGCACACTAGGGCTAGGGGTAGAGGTTGAGGTAGAGCTAGAACGAACGTAGTTGGACAAAAGAAAATAAAATTAATGGGCGATAATGTGACATATAGGTACATACAAAACAATAAAGTTAAGGCAAGGAACTTTTGTCTCGGTCATCTAGCCAAGTAACATTCTTAGCTTGAATTAATTGTTAAAAAAACAGAAAAAAAGAGAAAGGATTGCATTGGTCTTGCTCAAGGCTGCAAGCTGTGTTGGGTGGTTTTTGTTTGTTTGTTTGTTTGTTTGATTTTGCAGGTGCATGGAGTTGCCCTACATGGTTATACTCTTGTAATTTTTTACGTATCTTTTTCTTCTAATTCTTGACGTATCTTTTTCTTGATTTGCATAAAGAGAAGCTCAGGACAGAGTGGAGAGATGCCATCCTATCTTTTGACTCTTTGTTGTTTATTTAGGTTATGATGATTTGATCGTTGTGCTTTTTTATTTTTCATTTTTTGTCCTCGCTTAAAGAATGGAGAACCAAAGCAGACATTAGGAAAAGAAAAGAAATGGGAGAATTATTATTATGGGTGTAGAAGGAAAGTGGATATACCAACATGGATATCATGTCATCATATTCTAATCTAAACTTGTTTAATGGAATCTCACATGGAACCAACTTCCCTAATTTCACCACGTATTTTGTTGTTACGAAAATAACCCTACCTAACCATCTATTTTTGAACGAGGGGTATACATGAAAATGAAACATCAGGATTAAAAAAGTTAATTGACCGATCTATCTTTATATAAATATTAAGCTCATTCTTTCCTATACCTTTTTTAAAGAAATTTTCACTCTTAGATATCATTATATATTCATTTTTTTTCCACATACCTTTGTATTACTTTTTTAGATAAAAATGCCCCACAACCACTAAAAGGAAAAAAAACATTTAAATTCATAAAACATTCAAATTTAAATTTAGTTTTTTTTTTTTTTTTTTTTTACAATGAAAAAGCCTAGAAAACCCAACAAAAATTTAAGAAGAGAAAAAAAATAATGTCCATAAAACCTCATCGACCATAAAATAAGTTTGCTGAACTTGGGTTTTTAAAATTTTCATTAGTTATCATTGTTTTTCTTAAATATTTTTTATTGGTTATTTCACTTTTCTTGATATGTTTCAAGTTTTTATATTCCTACATTTTTCGATTTTTCTAGTTTCTGTGAATATATATATATATTTTCTAGTTTTTTCAAGTTTTGTTAACGTTTAATATCAATCCTTCAATTCTTTTCGAGAGTTAAATAAATATATTTTTAGCTAGTTTTTGACACAAGAAAACAAAATCGATCTCTTTCCAATTAAATATTAAATATAGGTAAATCATACTCATACCCGTATAAGAAATGAAGTTTGTATAAATCATAGCTTGAGGGACGATAATGAAAATGTATAATTCTACGGAGTAGTAGTAGCCAATATTAAGATAAATACAAGGAAGGAGACAGAGTCAGACAGAGGTGCAATCGTTCTGTGAGTTTGGTAGAAGATTGAGAGAAAGATGGCGTAGCTAAAAGTGGGATTAGGATCATGCTTTGGGACGTGTGATCACCGCAGGACAAAATAATAATAATAACGACAACTTAAGGAACCCAGCAGCAGCAGAATACAAATTCAATCCAATCTGGAAAAATTCCCATTCCCATCACTATATATATGAAAAGAAACTATTTTGTTTAATTTTATTTTGTCCATAATTATCGACAAATAATCTTTTTTCCGTCACTATAGAACATAAAGATGGATGGATAATTACAGTAAGTATTATCAATTTCCGAAATACGTACGTACGTAACATTTCTTAAAGAAAAAGAAACAGCGTTCTTCAATGGCAACGACCAAGAGAACTTTGCAGTGTTTGTTGAGCAGAGTTTGCAGGGAGACTAGGAGGACTTATGGGGTTCTCCCTCAACCACCTCCACACAACTCTTCCTCCTCCTCCTCCTCCTCCTCCTCTCAACATCTCATCAACTTGGAGTATGAATACAGTGCCCACAAGTAACACCTCTTTCTTTCTCTCTCCCTCATCCTTTATTGGAATTTCGTGATTTGTTTTCCTTAATCATAACTTTCAATCCTCCCTTTTTGGCTTCTGGGGTTTTCTTTTTAGTAATTGTTCACTAGGATTGTTTACTGTGGTTGAGATGGAGTCTGCCCATGATTGAGAATAATTGCTGTGATTTATCATTTTCAGACACTTACTTGTGTGATTCAAGTTTTATTCTTGGAGCCCATTTAATTCGCTGCAATAATACTTCGTTTATTCTACTATTCTTTTCTTCCTACATACATTTTTATGCTCATCTACGTACCATATGTTTTTCACTTTACTTTATTAAGTTAAATAATGTTATTAATTCGCTTTTCTTGTTGATTAACTCGCTTTTCTGGATCAATTTAGTTACCATCCAGTTCCAATCGTCTTCTCTCAAGCAAAGGGATCCTCTATATGGGACCCCGAAGGCAACAAATACTTGGATTTTCTCTCAGCATACTCAGCTGTTAATCAGGTAATAGAAACGGGTAATTCAATCCATACATTCTCAATTATTAGAGCAGGATGTCAATTAGATTTTAGTTTAAAGAGTGACATCGCTGATGATGTATATATTTTTTTCTTCTCTTGGTATTATTAACAGTTGTTAGGAAAATAGATACTTGTATGCGAGGGGGTCGAATGCGTGTAATAGTTGTGGTAAATGGTTTAGTAGAAAGTAGCTACTAGTTGGAGGAAACAAGTGACTGCAACATGGGAACACAAAATCGAACTTGTAGCGAACTAATTTGCAAGGTTATTGGTGATCAGTAGGCAACATGGGAACTCACTTTCATGGTTGATTATAGGTTTTTATGAACTGCCTTCTAGGATTTTCTAGGCACATCTTGACTTGTGTAGGAAATGTGTATTCTGGAGTGTGAAACTTGATACATTGACGACAGGTCAAAGAGTCTGATATCATCTTAAATGACCGCTTAAAGCATAAACTGTTGGGTGAAGGCTTAAGTAGTTTTTTATGTAGTCATTAGAAGGGACGGCGGTTCTTATATCTTTAGCAGCAATCAGATCCCTCTTTAAGAAATGGTCAAAAATGAAGTAGAAGGAAGAGAACCAGGCTCAATTGCAATAAGATACCTCTTTTTACGTGAGAACAAAATGCAAATCATGTGAGGATCTTATCCTCCAAGTAGACCATTCTTCTCAGACTTATTCTTGCTGGGGGATTGTATCCTTGGTACTTTTGAGAATTCAATTGGAGATGAACAATAAATGCAATTTCTTATGGCTTCCTTTTGTAGGGACATTGTCACCCAAGGATCATGAAAGCATTACATGACCAAGCACAAAAGCTCACTCTCAGTTCTAGAGCCTTCTATAATGATAGATTTCCAGTATTTGCAGAGCGCCTAACAGATATGTTTGGCTACGATATGGTGCTACCAATGAATACTGGTGCTGAGGGTGTGGAAACAGCTTTGAAGTTGGCAAGGAAATGGGGATATGAAAGGAAAAAAATTCCCAATGACGAGGTAATAGTTCCAAACAACTTTCAACTACATTATTGTTGCTATGGAGATTGTGTAAGATTTTTTCTTTGCGTTTTCTCATCATTCAAACGAGACTGTTGTTGATTCTCATTCATGCAAGTTGATCATGACTTTTATTTCTACAAAACAGATTTCACTATGGGTAATGCAAGTATATAACCTATTTACGAAGGCTGTACACAGACTTTATATTGAAGAACTCTGACTCTTCAATATTTTATTTAATTATTTATATTACGAAGGAATTACAATAAGAAAAGACTATATTCTGAATAGAATCAGTTTGGCACAATACTAAGGGTGATATTGCTATTTGCCATTTATATTCTTGGAGTCACAGTTTGAGACCATGAATTGGTATCTTCAAGGTTGAATTTCCTGTTTTATGTGCCACATTCCTTAACACTATTGAGATTCTCTCAAGCGGTTGCTAATAGCTGCTTTTTTACTAACTGGAAAATGGATGTTTTATTTGTCTTCAACAAGGATTATGAAAAACAGATCAAACTTTTGTAATCCTTCAATTTATTTTGCATGGCAAAGTTATCCTTGTGCCTACCAAGTCTGGTTATGGAAAACAAATGTTTGCAAATTGATTTACCTTTTTGTAAAAGAATTTTGTTCGACCAAATCAATTATTGTTTGAAGAAGTTTGATGATCCACTCAGACTCTATTGACACCTCAATTGTTAGCTGCTTTCCTTGCTGTAGTAAATATCACCTTATGGATCTGAATTGCAATAAGATAGTAAATCTCTCTCTTTTCTGGATGCTAATTTCTTTTGTTTTGTTTTCATGTAAATCAAAAATGTCATAAGAGTGGTTGGATATTCCAGCAGTCATTTTCGTTTCACTGATTAAGATTTGATTAAATAACCTTTTGGTATTTAAAATTTGAATGTAAAATTGTACTTCTATAATTTCATCTTGCTTCAAGGAACCAGTTGAGCTTTTTCTTTCATAAATGTCCTTTGCTGAAAGTGTGCAACATGCAGGCTATAATCATCTCTTGTTGTGGCTGCTTTCATGGTCGTACATTGGCTGTCATCTCAATGAGCTGTGACAATGAGGCTACTAAAGGTTTTGGGCCATTGCTGCCTGGCCATCTTAAAGTTGATTTTGGTGATGAAGTTTTATTGGAGAAAATATTTAAAGGTTTGAATGAACCAAAACTTTTTGCCCATGTTTCATATGGATTAAGAGCAATCATTTCATGGATCATTACATTGTTCAGAGCTTTTTCATAATTTGTCATTGTTGCTTCAGCTCTACGATACGAGATGAGAATTTAAAAACCATCTTATAACAGAACTCTGATATGGGTTGCAGATCAAGGAGAACGGATAGCTGGATTTCTTTTTGAACCCATTCAAGGCGAGGCTGGGGTATGTTTCCTCAGAAATTCAATTGACTTGTTGATGTCAGATATTCCTTTTTTGTTCGGATCAGGAAGTGGGGTTTCTGTGGGGCCTTTGGCTACCACAACTAGTCCTCCACTCCCTGAGCCTGGCCATGACAGAACATGCCAGGCCTCATTCGATAATGGGTCCCAGGGATATTCAGCCTTGTAAACCTTCCAAAATTTTTCCAATCCAGCTATCAGGCCCAAGCTTGGTAACATGGGAGATTTAAATGGCTGGCATATTTGAGGGTAGTGGAAATCGAACCATGGTCCCCAACATGACCACTAGGTTCCTGCTGAACGTATGGGTTCTCGTAGTAATGGTTTAATGATCACTTGGCTCGCCTCACTTACTGCCAGACCGCACCTCTACTAAATTGATTTGGAATGTCTAGATTTTGTAAGATGTATTTTCTAGTTTTCAAACTTTTGATGCAGGATTCAGGAACAAAGCTGAATGGTCAATTTCTTCAATATGATTGTTGTTATGCATAGTTATGACATGGAGTGTTTATGCTGAATAGCAGTTCAGTCCTTTTTTCATATTTATTATTTATTTTTATTTTTCATACGTACAATTAGTCTATGCCAGAAATCATGTCGGGAAAATCATAGTTAATAGGATCAATTTTATCTGCTCCTTGTCTAATCATATAGAATACCTGCCTGTTCTTTTGAGTGGTATCTGATACAGGTATTTGCCAGTCATAACAAAAAATGAAAGTTACTCAGGTTGTTGCAGAATAAAATGTTTTGGATTTGAAAAAAAGGAACCAACCTATCCTGATCAGTTTTCTTGATCATTGTCTTACATATATAGCTAATTTTATATTTTTTTTATCTTGTATCCAATTTACCTGGTCATTTTGCATAAACTGTCTATGACATGCCCATGTGTATTCAAGCCCACTTCTCTTTTTGACAATGGCAGAAAGGTTTTCTGCACCACTTTGGGGTGGTTGATGGGGAGGGAGAAGCTGCTTCTTTCACCTCTTAAGGTCCTTTTGTTATTCCTGTCTCCTCATTTTACGACACTATTATATTTTATTATTTTATTTTGGTTGGCAGGTTGTAATTCCTCCAGATGGTTACTTAAAAGCTGTCAGAGATCTTTGCTCAAAATATAATATTCTGATGATAGCTGATGAAATTCAAACTGGTTTAGCACGAACAGGAAAAATGCTGGCTTGTGATTGGGAACAAGTTCGCCCTGATGTAGTGGTAAGGCTGCTTTCCTTTTTCCAGAAGGGATCTTCCAACTCTTTGGTGTGAAGATGTGAGTGGCAAAGTTCTGTATTGAAAAGCATGGTTGTCTGTGTTAACAGGTGTAATAAAATTCCAAACTACTTCTGATATCTGAAAAATCTCTCCACGTGTTCTTTTAACAATTCTTGACAGTGTAGTTTGGCCTTAAAACAGCGACACTTTTCAGCACATGAACTTATTTCATCTTTCTGCATCTAAGGAAAATTGGTAAACTGTAAGGAGTTCCCACTGTTTTGATATTTGTTTTTTGTTCGTTGTTGAATGTCTTAAACCTTCTCATGGTAAGTCAGTAATTTCTCTCTAATGAAATCATCTTCATTTATCAAAAAAATAAAAAAAAAAAAAAAAAAAAAAAAATGTAGGAGTTGCATGGCAAAACAACTGTTGCTATACTAGGTAATAATTTGGTTTTCAAATGAATATATGTTATTTGCTTGGGATCAAGATTCAGGGCCATTCCTATAAGAGAATACAAAATACTATACAAAATTTTCTCTGTCACTGATGAATTTACTAAGAATACTAAGAATATACTTCTGTTCATAACTTTGACTACTTTTTTCATTTTTTTTATCAATTACATTTTTTGCTATGATTAAGATGTTCATCATATAATACTGCAAGAGATGGTTGCTGTGAATTCTTATCTTCTAACTTAAAAAATTGACTGATACATCGAACTGGGGATTTGAATTCTTAAAAGAATTTTCAATGCCTGCCCTTTACATACCTGCCTAGGTATTTATTCAGTGCTTTTGAGTGTAAAATGAAACATGACATCCAAATTAGATACATTGTGGAACTAGCCTTTAGAAAAGAACCAACAACAGCTGATACAACTGAAGTTGGATCTCCATATTTTATTTCCCATGTTTTAAATGATTTTGTAAGACTGGTATAAATGCTCCAAATAAGCAAGTTGGTAAAAAATTTTCCAATTTTGACCTGAAAAGATAATTAATATGCAAATTTAGTTTGTTGATAATTGCATTTCATAAGTGGAGCAATGCAGCTATCAGACGTTACTTGATTGTTGGCCTGCTTGTCTGATTTTTCTGCATGTATCTTGAGGGAAATTATCCCCAGACAATTGTTGTAGTCAATGCTAACTGATAGTAACTCAACCAGATTATATCATTTCTAATGTGCCTCCATACATGAAGTAACTTCAGTGGTTGTTCTGCTAGATTCTAGGAAAGGCATTGGGTGGTGGAGTGATACCTGTCAGTGCCGTTCTCGCAGACAAAGATGTAATGCTTTGTATTCGACCAGGAGAACATGGAAGGTTTGCTACTATAATTGTTTACCTTTTTGGTTGCTTGTCTTCTCATAGTGCTAATTTGCCAATCCTGTCCCTTAGTAGAAAATACTGCATGCTATAGCTGGAGCCAGCATTGTTCAACAATTCTCCATCTTGATTGGGAAAATTTGATGGAGACATTTAGTGTTCACCTTAAGTTTGATTTTGCTCAAAATAACGTTGCAAAGATGTGTAACTCTTTATCTTTTAAAAAGCTTTCAATTTAAGGAAAAGAAAGAAAAAGATGAAAAAAGAGAACTTCTAATAACTTTTACTGTAGAATGCATTTTAGCAAAGGATTCGTCTATGTTTAGCTAGTCAGCTTAGTTCAGGCTGATATTGTATAATACACAAACCAAAACATAGCCAAACAAGTTGAGGTGAGTCCTGATATGGATGGATATGAACCAGCTATTATTAGCCTATCTTCCTCCGTGTCAAATGTTGACTGCTTAGTTCAAGATTTCTGCTTCCGCATATTGGTATAAATAGTCTACATCAGGTGTGCAACTGGTTTGAGGCTAACACAACAATCAAATTGAATCTTTCCAGTCGAGAGCCTGATAATTTGAATCAGAATCGTAAAATTGAGGGAAACTCTAAAGTTGGTGCCCTTTAATATTTCTGAGGTGTCCTGCCAGCTTGATCAAAGTAGATAATTTTATCCAAAGCCTTAAAATCCTTGGGAAGGGACGATAAATTTATCAATGGGTGTTGGAGCTTTTATACATTGGTTCTTAAAGTGTTAAAATTGTCAAATATAATTAACTAGTGGGAGGAGTTATGACCCTCCATTATTTCTTTGTGAATTTGATGCCAAAAAAGAACTGCTTTCCTTCTTGATATGTTGTCTTTCCGGTAGGTGAAGCATTTTTTTTCCCAATCTAAACGTGTTATGTTAAAATATATATTTGCTTACTGGGTTATCATTTCTACTTTTTGTTACTATACATTTTTTAATTTTCTTCAGTTTGCCATGAGAATATATTTTTTGCTTTTGCATGTATCAGTAATTTCTTTCTACTCTTTCTTTTAAAAGAGTTGTGGCGTTTATCTTAAGAGAACTCACTGTTGTTTTATCTGTGATTTTTCCCAGCACATTTGGGGGAAATCCTTTAGCCAGTGCAGTTGCCATTGCTTCGCTAGATGTGATCAAAGAAGAAGGGCTTGCTGAGAGGTATCATGTATTGTCAACATTAAATTAAAATTGTGACTAAATTTTGATAAAATGCTCACCATTTGTAATCTCAGTTATCTGAAAAGTTGGATAGTTTTTAGGTGGGGGATATATGAGTAAATCATTTTGGAGAAATTTGCAAACAATAGGCAGTTCTTATATAACAGAATTCTCATAGAACATCTTCTAGAAATAGAATTCTACAAAAAAAATTGCATACTCGGGCACAACTAAGCTTATTTTGGCATATTTTGATTTGAAAATCCGAGTTACTGTGGACATATTTCCAAACAATTTGTCAGTGTTTTGAACAAAATGTTATTGAACCTCATTTAGAAACAGAATTGTGGGAAAAAAATCATGTATTTATTACAACTAAGCTTGTTTTGCCACATTTTATATTTTAAATCACTCTAATCCATTTCCCTTCATTCTTTGTTTTCATTTTTTCCCTTTCAAAAAACTGATATACGAACAAATTACCGGATGCTTTCCTATTCTACAGATCTGACCGTTTGGGGCAGGAACTCAGGCATCAGCTACTTAAGGTTCAGCAGCAGTTTCCAGACATCATTAAGGAAGTTCGAGGTAGGGGTTTGTTCAATGCTGTGGAGTTCAAAAGCAAGACTTTGTCCCCTGTTTCCGCATATGATATTTGTCTGAAGTTGAAAGATAGAGGAGTTCTTGCTAAGCCTACACATGACACTATTGTCCGGTTAACCCCTCCACTTTCCATGAGGTAAGGACGATGTATGATGAGTGCTAAATGTTATCATGTCACAGAAAGTATAAATCTCTTGAGAATGATCTGGTTTGATGGTATCTCTTTTCATAGAATCTGAGTAATAGACAAGATTGGAGTGATATGGGTTGAGTAAGAAGGTACTTGGAATCATGTGAACCGTCGCCGTCCAAGATATTATCCTGTACTTGGCCTTTATGCTTTTCATTAGAGACTAGGACCTTATTGAAACCTGATACTAACTGTTCATATTTGCTGGGCCCATTAATTTGTTGTGCACACTCGGTTTCTTTCCTTGGATTCGATGTAGGGAATGACGCATCAAAAATCTTTTTGTGTCTGAAAAAATTGTTTGTCGTAAGACTAGCTGCCAATTAAGTAAGGATTGTATTTTTCTTTTCTTGCTGAAAAGAATAAATAAAGTCTATACCACATGCAATTATATATTCCAGGACCCACGTTACATAGTTGAACAAACTCCTACCCCATCCTGTTATTGCATTAGTGAACATGATGCTATTTACCTGCCAATGAATGTTGGAATCCACCCCGAATTTATATACTGATGTTGTCAGGAGATTTTCTTATGGTAGAATTTTATAACCTTGAATAAACGTGGCCTTTTCAGTTCGGATGAGCTCCAAGAAGGCTCGAAAGCTTTGGGTGAGGTTCTGGAACTCGATCTACCAAAGATGAAGAAGGCCAAACCCGAAAAGTTGTCGTCAACTGCTTCGACCACATGTGACCGTTGTGGGCGAAACCTGTATGGTTCTTCGGATTAGGATGTCTGAATTACGTGAACACTTACGAGGCTGTTCTGTTGATTCATCTCTTAAACTCTGGCATACAGATCCCCTGAAACGAGCATGGGCTGATTTTCTATTCCCCCTTTAATTGGAAATTATGAGATTGAAATCTCTCATTTCCGTATGGAAGTTATTATTGTTTAAATTAAGATATATGACTATTAACGCAATGATGGATGGTTGATTGAAAAGTTCTTACAGCATCTTTTTTTTTTTTTTTTTTTTAGCACTTCTAGAAAAGAGGGTACATCTTTAGAATGGAAGATAAACCAATCCATAATGCACATCAGCAAGCACTAAACCACATTCTTGGATTGATAAGATCACTGTTCTTCCCCCTCTAGAACAATAGTGAAAATGACTTAATTTTGAAGTTTGTGGTTTCACCTCAAAAGCCAAAAACACAAGCCAAAATGGAAGTAAGCCTCTATTCTGAAACCTGAGTCCATCTAGTATTTTAGCGTTCCGGCAATCTGTCTCTGGATTGCATTATTATGTGATTTAATGTATAGGATGTGTTAAAGTCTGTCGATTTACACAGTAGGGTTCCTGATCCGATTCACATTTATATAGATAGGACCGTCCGAGTCCTGTGGACAGGCATTTTCCACGTACATACATGCATATTTGCGAACATACTTTACAACTCTCATCCCCATACGTGTGTGCTTCTCTTCTGTGCTCGTCACACAGCGCACACTTTTAGGCACACGTTTGATTTACTTATTTTTATCCAGTGTACTAAATTTGTGTTGAGACTGATCAAGATGTGAGTTATGCGGACAAATAGGTGCTTTTTTGTAATGCCATGTATGCGTTTGTGTAAAAGTGTATTTGGATTGAAAAAAATATTAAAATTGATTCTTTTTTAGGTTTTTTTTTTATATGGTTATAACATTATTGTATCAAAATCATCTAAAAACATAATTTATTTTCAATTCAAATATATTTTAAAAATAGTTTAAAATATATTACCAAACACAATCGTATTCTCTATCAATTTTTTTTTTTTTTTTCATTCGAGAGAATAAATTGGATAATTTATATAAGAGAGTATATGAGTTTATGCATGAAAGGGAGAAAAGAGGGTAAATACGTTAATTTATTTTTATACAATAGCATAGGTTTCTAATATGCCTTTGAATATTGTTTTAGTTTGTCTTTAATATATCTTTCGATTATAGATAATTTTTTTTATTGAATGCTTCTAAAAAGAATGCTTCTGAAAAAACACACTTAAAGTCACATGACGTGTATATATGTATATATATTTTTTGAATTCTTTAGATTTTTATTTATTATTATTTTACATTTTAGTTAGGAGCATTTGATTAAATAATTTACTTATTGTTGAAAAAATTGATTGAAATGGCAAATTAGAAACTTAAACATTATTCAAAGATATAATAAATACAATTAAAAATATAAAGACAAATTAGAAATTTAGAATATTATATAAGAAGAAATTAAGCTATTTACTCAAAAGAAAATAAGCATAATCAAACTCTCCATATAGTAGTATGTTTTTGTCGGGGGAAACATGGAGACATGTACAATAATGCAAAAAGTTTTGGTAGTTGAGTAATTATGTAGCAACAGACAGCATCTTCTCTCTAATTAATTATTAATTCGATAATTGATGATATATGAGAGATTGAGTCCTGTTAAGCCATGAGAACCTCAAGGGCTTATCTTATTAGAAGGAAACATGTGGCCTACCAAATTTGTTTTGGTGTGTTGGTTTGAACCTTAGCTGGATGATGGATATCATTATTGTTTACAGCAAAACGTTAGCTGTTATATTACTCCAGCATTTAACCAACAGTCTTAAGAGACAATGTATACACACACAAGGTTTTTTTTACTGCTAATAATTAATAGTTAATATCATTAATTAAGCTTTTTCTGTTATTAGATTCGATTGAAAATACTACTGCTACAGCTTGTTTACAACTGAAAATTGTGACTATATAGTAGTATATATATATTTACATGCACAAGGCGTAAAAGAATGTGGAATAGACTAGGGCTAGGGAAGGCAATCTAGCATTCTAGTACAGAGTGTACATAAGGGGAATCTGAGGACGATATTAGTAATTTAATAGTTATAAACATAATTAATGCTATAAATAATTATATATATCTTCAAAATTTATTTAACATCGATTATACTTTGAAGTATGTGCATCTTATAAAAATTTCATTTATGCACACATATATTGACTAAGATATATTAATATTTAATCTTAAGGAGTTGGTATGGTAGTTATGGAAGTGTTGCGGTTTTGTTTTTCCTTAACTACATATATTTTATAAATAAAAAAAGTAAAAGATAATTTCAAAGCATTCTATAGGCCGGTTAATCTTCCAATCTTTCGAGTAGATAAATTAAATTAACTTATAAATATAAATTACAATTACTTTTTATAATGTTTATGGGTTTTGAGGTTACAAACAAACTAAAATTATATATATAAAAAGAAAAATTATATATAAAAAAGGACTACAATAGCCTTGCAGACTCTTTGTAGAGAAACCTTAACTTTCCAAACTAATTGGATTTTCAAGATTGGCAAACAAATAACTAAAAATAAATTACAAATTAAGACAGAATCCATACTTCCTAATCTAATATGCAACTTGAATAACAATATCAAAACAACAAATTGTAAATTTAAATAATTAAATACTAAAGTTTAAGCTCGTAATATGGATGAAAACCGACAATCTTTATAGAATAATGTTGTTTTCTTTTATAATGTTTAATTGAATGAACTTATAATAAAAGAAAATAATGAGTATCTACGAGATGACATTCTAGACATAAAAACGGACGGAGGAACTATAGAGGACGATAGATGTGAATTCGAGTATGTGGTTGGAGGACTAATTATAAACCTATGAGGCTATCCTCTACTTGATTATTGCCTACAAATTATCGCCTACAAGTTATCTTGTAACACCCTCTCGGCCTAAGGAGGCTAAAAATGTCAACGGCAAAGCCTAGCACTCATAATGCAATGAATGTGAGACACTAAACGTCATGTCCTCTACTTTATGTATGAATTACATAGCATAATGAAAAACCTTAGGTTTAAGGTTCAAGGTTTTAACACATTGAAAACTAAATTATTATTACCATGAAAACCAATTCAAGTTTCATTAAACATATATGCCAATTTGGGTTCCATAAAACACAAATCATTTTAAACCATTTTAAGTTTTACAATTGGAAACCATTTCATGAAACCATTCATAAACATTCAAACTCACATATTTATTAACATACTAAACTATACCTAAAAGTAGCATAAGTTTACAAACTAAAAGGATCAAACATAGGAAACATGTAAGTGTTCAAATACATGAAACATAGGTAATGTTTACCCCTTAAAATTTATACCTATATTTGTAGTACACATTTTGGCAAGCTTAACTCCTCAACACAACAACTTTAACTTCAATACATGCCAACATGCATAACTTAGTTCACCTACACCACAAGATAAATGGTGAGTCGAAGCTTAATAAATGCAATCATGCATGAATTCAAATAAATTCATTTTCTATGCTATTGAAATATGTTTTCTCGTCTTTAGATGCATTTTACCGAATGTATATATATTTGGCCCTTAATGAAAACTATCCTTGCAAAAACCATAAAGCACTAGACATAATCCATTCATTTTCCTCTCAAAGGATTGATCATTCCCCTTGTAATCCCTCTTAAATATATCTAACCGTGAACCATAAAACCATGAACCATGAGCATGGCATTTTTTACTTTCTTAAAGTCATGACAAAACATTTTCATGACATAAATGCATTTCTTAAGCAATAACATAAACATATTATGCAATTGCACGAACATATATCAAGTGACATGAAATAAGTCATAAGGTCGAAACTCGTCACAAGCAATAAACCAAGTAGCATTCCACACATGAATTGAAACTCACTATGAATCCACAAGTGTTCCCATCGTCAACTAAACACTTAATCACATACGAAATAACATTAAATATCTATGTAACACTAGATCATTAAGTACCTCATAATTATTCAATCACTTAATAATCATATAAGCAAATATCTAAGTATTATCAATCAACCACACAAATCCGAAACCATTAAGGACATGTCGAACGTGCAATCATTCAATTAACGGATCTCCAAGGTTCAATCATCATATAATCACATGAATACACATTCATATAACCTCATAAGTGTCAATCATCATTTAATACGTGGATACAAATCAATTGACATCAATCAAGCATCTAGTTGAATCTATCGACCATGATTACAAGTTGACCAACCTTGATTAAACATCTAAGCATAAAAATTCTTTAACAACCAAGACACGTAACATTATATCTTATGGTGTAGTTGAGATTATGCTCATTTTGGGTTTAATTAGAGTTAAAAATACCTCTAGATGTTCTTCAAAATCACATCTCCTTCTTTTTTGTTGCTCTCGACCAAACTATCCAATTTCCTCTTCTCTCTCGACCAAACACTCTTTCCCTCTTCCTTTTAGATAGAATTGATTTCTTAGTGAATTTGTCTTTCTTTCTTGTCAATTATACTTTTTGCAAGGCTAAATTATCACTCGGATAATTTATAAATCATTCCCCTCGTTTTGCTCCTCTTTGTCTACTTAGATGATTAAAGGACTTATGATTTTGCCACTTGCATGTTCATTTGTATGGTTACTTGGTTAATAGAATTTTCTAGATTAATTTACTTAATCAAATTATTTTCTAAGTTAGTCTATGTATGGACCATCTTTCTAGTTTTATTTTTATCTCCTAACTTACATGGAACTATTGATTAAGCCTTATGCCTAAGTTCTTTGAACTTGGACAACTTAACATTTTGGTCGTTATACTTATTCACTTAATTCAATTAAGCCCTCATTCTTTTAATTGTTACCCTAAAGCCCCTAAGTCACTCACACAAATATAATACTTAAC